ACGTTGAACATCCCACAGAGCACCATTCAATCTATTATTAAAAAATGCCAGGCGAGGGCCGCCCACCAAAACTCACGGACCAGGCAAGGAAGCATTAATCAGAGAGGCAACAAAGAGACCAAAGATAACCCTGAAGGAGCAAAAAAGCTCCACAGTGGAGATTGGAGTATCTGTCCATAGGACCACTTTAAGCCGTACACTCCACAGAGCTGGGCTTTACAGAAGAGTGGCCAGAAAAAAGCCATTGCTTAAAGAAAACAATAAGCAAACACGTTTGGTGTTCTTCAAAAGGCATGTGGGTGTCACGACTTCCGTCGAGGCTGCCTCCCCTCCTTGTTCGGGCAGGTTCCGGCGTTCGTCGTCACCGGCTTACTAGCCACTGCCGCTCCATATATCATCATTCCATTTGTCTTGTCTTGTCAATTACACACACCTGGTTCATATCCCCTCATTAGTCAGTGTATAAGTGTTCCCTCTGGCCCCTTGTCCTTGTGGGTGATTGTTATTTGTGAGTTGAGTGTAGCTCGGTTGAGCTACCTGTACCTTGTATTTCTGGGGCTATTGTTCCCTGTGTGCCTGTATTTTGTTGACGCTACCCAGTGTAACTGTTTTCTACGGAATAAACTCTGTATTTAGTGATTTACCCTCCTGCGCCTGACTCCTTCAAATCACACTCTCACAGTGGGAGACTCCCCAAACATATCTGGTCAGATTAGACTAAAATTGAGCTTTTTGGCCATCAAGGAAAACGCTATGTCTGGCGCAAACCCAACACCTCTCATCACCCCGAGAACACCATCCATGTTTTTCATCGGCAGGGACTGGGAAACTGGTCAGAATTGAAGGAATGATGGATGGCGCTAAATACAGGGAAGTTCTTGAGGGAAACCTGTTTCAGTCTTCCAGAGATTTGAGACTGGGACGAGGTTCACCTGCCAGCAGGACAATGACCCTAACCATACTGCTAAAGAAACACTTGAGTGGTTTAAGGGGAAACATTTACATGTCTTGGAATGGCTTAGGCAAAGCCCAGACCTCAATCCAATTGAGAATCTGTGGTATGACTTAAAGATTGCTGTACACCAGCGGAACCCATCCAACTTGAAGGAGCTGGAGCAGTTTTGCCTTGAAGAATGGGCAAAGATCCCAGTGGCTAGACATGCCAAGCTTATAGAGACATACCCCAAGAGACTTGCAGCTGTAATTGCTGCAAAAGGTGGATCTACAAAGTATTGACTTTGGGGGGTGAATAGTTATACACGCTCAAGTTCATTTTTTTTGTCTAATTTCTTGTTTGTTTCACAACAAAACATATTTTGCATCTTCAAAGTGGTAGGCATGTTGTGTAAATCAAATGATACAAACCCCCCAAAAATCTATTTTAATTCCAGGTTGTAAGGCAACAAAATAGGAAAAATACCAAGGAGGTTGAATACTTTTGCAAGCCACTGTCCTTTAGTTCCAAAAATAAGGGGTTAAATATTAGTAATTAAATGAAATTTAAAAAATCCTGATCTATCTTATATCTCTCATATTCTGATTAATTTTTTGACTATCTGTTTTCCCATGTATGGATATGTTATTCAACGCGTTTCTATGGGCTAATAGCAGTACGACGAAATTCAATGTTTAATCAAATAATACAACATTTAAAACGTGATACTTACAGGGATCCTAAAACTCTAAATCAAATCGCTAAATGATCCTTTGTATGACCTTCTTAAAACAATTGCATATGTTAGCTTAGTAGAAACCCAGCTCCGGGCCCTTAGACCTTAGGGGTAATCTTTTTTTCATAATTGAACGTTACATTGCAACCACAGGTCATCAATACCCACATAGAATGTTGTTTGGAAAAAGTAACTGATATTTCTCTATTATACTGAGCTCTTCACATAACAGGAGAAAGGGAAAATGTTGTCAATAAAACCATAGAAATAGAATGACAAGAATGCAATTCTGACTATTTCTATGGATGCAACCATGAGACAAGACAATGATGTGTCTGGATATAGATGTACATTCCTCTCACTGTAACGGTGCAGCCAGGGCCAACAGGAGGGGAAATCATTGTCATCCGTTCAGTAAGAGGAGAGAAACAGGTCAGTGAGCCTATCAATAATGTAACAGACCGACTGGTGGGTGGGTGGATGCATGTTGTTAGTGCTCATAAAGAGAAAAAAGCCCTGCCCTGCTACGTCTGAAACTGGCAGTATGGGAGATGATATACTGTTGTTATCATAATTCCTCCATTACAGTAAGAATGGTGGTGGGTGTATGTTAGGGCTCATAAAGACAGCCCTGCCCTGCTATGCCTAGCAGCATGGGAGAGAGTAAGGATATCTTGTGATCACATTATTCTATTACAGTATGAATCACATCCCATACACTCATTAGTAAGAATGATCATGTCGGGGCAGGTGGTGAGAGTGGGGGTGGGGCAGGATGTTCATGAGTCACTGAAACTACTCCTCAGATTACCATAAGGGGTTTTCGTGTAGGAATACAGATAGCAAATATGACCGTTTATGGGGACTTCACATAATAGCCTACCCATGGCACTGCATCTCAAACCAAGTTCCATGTCGAAAATTCCACAGGTACAGAGTATGTGTGAAAAATCAATTCCGATCAATCTAAGAGTAGACTGGGTTCTGTGCAGGGTAGCAGGGCATTGCTATGGGTTCAGAATGCTGAGTGTGGGGGCTGGCTAGTGGTCAAGGAACAGCCAATAATTCAGTGTGTGTGTGTGTGTCTATTTATGTGTGATTAAACTGACCTTACAACCCCAGCGTGTGATATAACCTAATTACCTTGTCGGGTGCACTCTGCGAAATGGCCCCGAGATAATTCCCTCTCAACAAGGAAGGAGCATGGACTTTCTCAGTGGTTTCTCCGTCACCATGACACTAGGAATTTCATGGACCTTATAGTAAACTAGTGATTGCTGGTGTATTAATCCATGCTTGACTTGGGCAGGAGCTCACCGGAGCTGAGTACCGGAACCTTACATGTTCTACTCCTTGAGCTCCTGTTCCTCTTATAGAATATTAGCTCAAAAGTATTGTGGAGTTCCTGCACCTAAATATAAACAGTACCGGCACCCAAAATGAGTACCGGCACCTATTTCAGTCCAAGTCAAGCACTGATAGTGTCCTGATCGAAATAGACAGAGACCCCATAGATCAAATGTTGTTGATAATGTGGAGTGTAGAAACAGGTCAAAGAAAGAAAGAAAGAAAGAAAGAAAGAAAGAAAGAAAGAAAGAAAGAAAGAAAGAAAGAAAGAAAGAAAGAAAGAAAGAAAGAAAGAAAGAAAGAAAGAGATGCTCAGTCGTCATCATGTCTACCGGGCGTGTAGTGCATGTGGCACTGTGACAGTACACGTCAATAGGCGAGATCTCACCTTGGACAGCGACAGCGTCGTCTGTCAATACAACAGCCGAACGGAATCTGCCCTCCTCATCCCTAACTACAGGGCTCCAGAGAGGGTGCATCCATATCATACAGCGGAGACAGACTAATGACTGTAGAAAAGAAAAGGAGAAAATTATACCATTGTCATGCAGTTTTTCATTCCAGTAGGCTAGTATTCATTCCGGAAGTAGGTGCTGCGTTGGTTCACTATCAAAGTCGACCATTTCGAGGAGGAATCAGGCAGCACGAGCAGGCAGTAGGCTATCATCATCAACATCTGAGAGGTTAGGCTACAATATCAATGGCATTAGGCTACCGCTGTAATTGCCCTCTCGGATGTGTAGACTTCTCCATCCGTCTGTAATTAGAAGATTGCAGCAACTGTTGTTTTGAATTCTGGTCTGTTATTCGCAAATTTAGGTGCACCATATTTTCTACGCAAAGCTAGAAGACAGAAGAGAAATGCTGATATCGAATGAAGATGGGATGTATCGCTGTTTTGAGTGGATGTATTTACAGATATATTTAACATGCAAGTTCACTGGATTGTAAATTGGATCCACTCTGTGTGGACGTCGGGTGGAATGGGGTGGACCATTCTTGATGGATCAATCCAAAACATATCAGAGGAGGAATAGAATAGAAAAGAAGAATCATGATCTGACGGTTGGGATGCTACTAAGGATAATTAAAAAGACGATATAATCACACGTCTACATCTAACTTCCATTATATCGTCTGTCTGCACCCTTTTGGATTATGCTTCTTGACAACAGTCCCAGATATGACTGTGGGAATGGAAATGGAATGTTGTTGTTTTTTTACACCTCTTTCTATTTTATGTCTCTCCATTGCTCACTCTTCCACTAGTCCACTCTGGCATGTCTTCTGCTTTGTGTAGCAAACATACATTTTTGCTGCAAACCCCAAATGCAATGTGCTAAATGACTAAAATGTAAATGTAATGTGTATAATTTAGATCGATAGTGCAGGCAATGGACGATATAGGCCTATCACGTATTTGTGGTGGTAGGGGTGGAGGAAGAATCTAGCTTGACAGCACTCGCAGAGTTGTTTGGTAATGAATATTGAGAGAGTGTATCGAGCCGCTCAAGCGGAAAATCTCTCATCTGCATTGTCTTAGAAACACATGCCATCAGAGAGACAACAACCAAGACATGGTCCTTTATTTCTTACCATTTGACAGCACATTTACAGTACAAGTTTTTTAAGCTCATCAGTGATGCTATTCAGAAAATGTTTAGGTAAAATCCCCTAAGTCATAGCATATGCAGCACAATAATTGGCTAAAGATAACAGGCGTATTATAATAATAATAATAATAATAATAATAATAATAATATTAATAATAATAATAACCCTTCTCCTAAATCAAAGGCATATCTTCTCTTTTCTAGAGACCACCTTATTTTCAAATAGGTTTCATTCCCTTCTGAATAATTCATGTAGCCAAACATGTTCAAATATAGGATCCGCATGTTTTTCAACGAACTGAAAGTACTGGTTTTTATGCGAGACGTTTCGAGACAGCCCGATAGATCCGACGCAGAGAGGCCGTCCAGCATGCGGGGTCTTGGGATGGGCGGCTGCGGCTGGCCTCCCTTTGTGGACTGCTCCTCCCGGGATGACGAGGAGGAATATTACGGGACGGATCCTCGGCCTCGGAGCCTGGGCTTTGAGGAGAAGGACCCCAAACTGCAAGTGGGCCTGGATGCCGTGTCGCTCACAAGCACTGCAAGCAGCCTGCGCTGTCGTATCTGCTTCCAAGGCCCAGAGCAGGTACTGTCCCATATAGATACATACGCCTTCACGTTGTCCAGCTTTTCGCGCCACAACACAACACCGCTCAATTGGACCATTAGGCAATAGCCCTACGCTGTCCATGGTTCTGAGTGTTAGTGCGCATGTAGGACTATAGAAAACCTATATGGCTACATTTTGACCAGTTTCGATTTGTTGTGTTTACAAATTGATTTGGTTGAGAAAATACTGACAATTATAAATTTTCTTTGAGTACTCTATAGCCTACAACAATGTGGATTATAGCTTGACTGATGTCATGGTCCACGTGTGAACGTGAATAATAATTGGCCCAGGCTTGTTTGTGGGCCTATGAGCCAAGGAATGTATAGGCATGCAGAACAATGAACAGATCTTTGGTCCTCAGCCAAAACTTGACACAACAGATGTGCAGAACCTGTACAGCCTGGCTAAGCTTGTTAACCATGGCCTTGAGATAATGAGATATGGTGTAAGTGCCACTGGAGCACAGATGGAAATCACCACTTAATCACTTTGTAAGATTTTATGTTTGTCATAGTGTTATTACAGTATACAGTAGGTGCTACTTCATAGCATCTGTAAACTCAATGGGAGCTATGCAGAAATGAAAAACTATGAAAAGGAACAGAAATGTTGATCAGTTACCTGGCTCTGACCAGTTGTTCCACATGGTTTGGATCTCAGGCTAGTTTACCGGGCCTTCAGTGAATAGACTATGAGGCAAAGGTAAACACACACATTCAGAATATATTTTAATAGTAATTTAAAAGCAGCATCAATCTTCTTTAGATTGACATGATATTAACTTCTCTTTCAGCACTGCTTCCCTGCACCACTTCAACTTAATGATTACTTAGAAGATGAGCTATTATCTTAGACCCAGCCACTTTGTAATTTAATAGTTATTTCATTATTCAAGTGGGTCACAACAGGGGACAGTCATGTCCCTGTCAGTTGGGCAATTACTTCTACAAATATAATAACCTTGCTCTGTGGGACGCATGAAATATGATTCATAATTAAACAGCCTGTCAGAACCGTCAGGAGAGGAGGACTCCATGGCATGGCAATGGCATGTGCACCCATGATGGGTGCCATGATGGGTGGTCTGGGGTCTGAGGAGATTTAATAATAATAATAATAATAATAATAATAATAATAATAATAATATTATATGCCATTTAGCAGACGCCTTTATCCAAAGCGACATACATTTGCCCTTTCTAGTGATTCTATATATGTGTGCTCCATCATCAACCTTTCCACTAGACATGGTCTAGCTTCAGAATAGGCTGTGCCAGAGCCTCATATTTGGAATGTTAGCCAAATATGAGGCTCTGGGCAGTGCCAGGCAGCATTTGCTTCAGACTGGATGTGTGCCTGGATGGATGGATGTGTGGGTGGACACATTGGATTACTTTTAACTGGCTTGACATTTTGCTGTACAACAAATGTTTGTTTATGTTTTTATTCATTTCCTCATATACTGCTGACCTTCTCTGTGTAATCTTTATAAAGTCAGCTCAGTCATTGATGTGACATGTGGCTCCTCTCCCCCACTCAAATCGGTATGTTATTAGTCAATGAAAGTATCTCGTAATACCAAGGTTTAACAAGAAAACCTGGTGAAAATAAATGTTAAAAATAGTGTAATTGTAATACCCCTGTCAAAAAACATGCAACTAGTTATTTAGGGAGAAATACACATGGGTTAAATGAGTCACTCTCTACCAACTGAACCAAAATGAGAACATATTTTCTCCATTTGTGCTTAAAAATAATTTAAGCACAACTCCCTCCAGCCAAAGCTTACACCAATCTAATGGTTTTAAATCCATGACGGGAGTGTGCAAGTGGGAGAAGTCTCTGAATGCAGCCTGAGTTCCATCACATCTAACTAGATGGGATGTTTGCTGTAGGTACTGCAAGCAATGAATAGGAAACTCCATTCAGAGGAATTACTAGGCTACTTTTTAACTTCAGCCCTTTTAGATGTGTATAATTAGACACATACATAACTGTAAACAGAATTCTACAATGCTCAACATTCTCTCTATTCCTCAAGAGTCAATCTGCTGAACGTTCTTCCCATCCCACCCATCCAGTTGAGAAGGGCAATGTTTGCTGTAGGTGCTGCAGTAGGGCCTGTATTGATTGAGTTCACTGAGAGTCTGTCTCTACACCCAAATGGCAACCCATCCCCTATATAGTGCACTACTTTTGACACAAGCCCCATGGGCCCTAGTCAAAAGTAGTGCAACCTAAAGGGAATAGGTTGCCATTTGGGACGTGTTTTGTGTGAACGGTAGGGGTTGAATGGCTCACCTCCTGTTCACCTGCCTGCCCTTCAAATCTCTGTGCATCCCTGCCGATGTTGCCGGGCCCTAATTGGCTCGTTCTGGCCAATAGGCCAGCATCAAGCTGGGCACATGCATTGATCTACTAATGATTCCTAGACATGCATCATTTTAGCATTGAGTAATATAGTAGCCTCGACATTTAGCTACAGTACTGACGTTTTCACCACTTTTGATTTTCCATTTACTAAGGTGGAAATTGTGGAAGAGAAGGAAGACACTAATTAATAATGAATAGGTCATTCATAGTTGCTTTCCGACAGTTTCAAAATCTACAATAAGTGGGAGGATTGTGATGTTGTGTTAAGGTACCCCACAACCTGTGTGGGCCCACCCATTGTCTTTTTACTGAGTGTGCCAGACAGACATACACCAAACCAGTAGCTTTGGAGAGACATTGAGGGCTATCTATAATCCAATATTGTTTCTTATTCCAAAATATTTCCAATTCAGAAATAACCCATAGTGTGTAATGCCACAGAACATTAACTTGAACGAGAACGTTTATTCTAGTCATTCTAATTGTACGGTTGGACTCTTCTCTCTCCTGCAGGGAGAGCTGCTGAGCCCGTGTCGCTGTAAGGGCTCTGTGCGCTGCACCCACCAGCCCTGCCTCATCCGCTGGATCAGCGAGAGAGGCTCCTGGAGCTGTGAGCTCTGCTACTTCAAGTACCATGTCCTGGCCATCAGCACCAAGAACCCACTGCAGGTATGTCTCGTCACTCCGTCCAACCCCTCATCCCCTAGGACTTATGCTCTGGCCAGAATCAGACCCTAGCCCTTAGGTACTTCATGCAATACAATACACTACTAGCTCCACCTTGCCCACTTTGGTGATTTTCCTCATATTACTTATACCTATCCAATCTTTTCTGATTTACACAAGTGTCTAGGGAGTAGGGTTCTGTCTCATTCACTCCAGTCATATGTGCATTGTGTACTAGGTCTACTCTCATCTTCCAAATCAGTGAAGGTTCTTCTATTATCCACAGCACACAGATCTTATCTCACAGGCAGTTTTCTGCTGATGCATCAATTTGAAACCATGCACAATACCGCTATCAGAGTATTATGCAGTGCTCTGCTCTGGTGCACCAGTCTAGGCGTTACAGTTACTCACTTTGCTAGAACAAATCTTGGGCACTCGCAATGATGAAAGTGTGAAAACTGGACTGCACCATATTGTGCTGACACATTTTCCTGTTGCGTCACTAAATCTGCACCAGAAATGGCATCCTATTCTTTGGGTCAGAGCCCATGAGGCCAAAAGTAGTGCACTAAATAGTGAATAGGGTACCATTTTACTGTCTCTTTCTTAATGTCCCTTTCTTGGCCCTCGTGTCTGTTCTGTTCAGTGGCAGGCCATCTCCCTGACGGTGATCGAGAAGGTTCAGATAGCTGCCATCATCCTGGGCTCCCTGTTCCTCATCGCCAGCATCTCCTGGCTCATCTGGTCGTCCCTCAGCCCCTCGGCCAAGTGGCAGCGCCAGGACCTGCTCTTCCAGATCTGCTATGGGATGTACGGCTTCATGGACATCGTGTGCATAGGTGAGGATAAATCACAGAAGATACACACACACACACACATACATTAGCATGCACACACACGTGTAGGCGCGCACACACACACACACACTGTGAAGCTTTGTAGATTCTACCTGGTAAAAATTGTGCATTGCCAGACTCAAAACAGATGGTGCTGCTTACGTATCTGCACTGTGTGGTTATGCCAAATGTAGGTAGGTAATCTGTTAGCACTATAGTAAGTTGCTTTGTATGATAGATTTTGAGTATGATAAATACTCCAAGTATTTCATGCCTTAAAGATCATTTAATATCTTGCCTCTTCCTATCTCTGTAAAATCATCTCTCTCTTCCTAGGCCTTATAATCCACGAGGGCTCATCAGTATACCGAATATTCAAGCGATGGCAGGCCGTCAATCAACAATGGAAAGTATTGAACTATATAAAAGCCAATGACTTGGGGGACCCGTTGAGTAGCAGTAAGGGTGGGGGTCGGGGCTCACGGAGTAACCCCCATGGCTTGGGTAGTGGCAGCAGCAGGAGACCGAGCCGGAGGTTCAGGACTATTCTGGACCACCACTGTGGCTACACCATCCTGCATATTCTGAGCCAGCTACGGCCACACAACCCACGCATCGGCTCCTCGGCCAACCGGGAGGTGGTGATGAGGGTGACAACGGTATGAAACTGAGCGTGGAAGGGGTGGAAGGAAGGACTAAAGCAGGGTATTGGGCTTTTTTTCGGTCTGGTCGGTTCTTTCAAGATTCTGTCAACTCCATTGAGGAACTTGATTTCAGTACCCAGCCCAAGGAAGGACACGTACAGACAAGACAATGTCTGGCCCTGCAGCCAAGCTACTATGATATTGTAACAACCCTTGCCTTGGTAGGCTCATTACGATCCCTCCCAAGTGGGTTAATCCTACTGGAGCAGCGGTTACGAGTTTGTCTATGGGCTGGGAGACCCGGGTTCGAGACAATGTGTTGGATGTTTGGAAACGTCCTGAAACAGCAACAGACCGCACATACTGAACTATGAGGATCTTTCCAGGAGTTTGTTAAAAAAGAGATGCACATGATTTGTAATAATTGAAGAATGGTTATTATAATCTATGTAAAACATGCAAACTGTCCAACAGGCTTTATAACAACGCAATCCAAGGGGACAATGGATATTTTTCGGTCCGAATTCAGGATGCACAAAGAAATGCATGTTTTGTCTTTTTTTCACCTGTGTTTTTTTTGGTACGGTTTCTTTTTTACTCATTTCGATTTTTATATGGGAGTATGATTTAAGGAGATACCTGAAACTCCTTATGCCACGGCAAGCATTTTCAATCAACTCTAAATAATAATAATAATAATAGTTCCGCAGTTCTGAAATATTGTTGTAGCTAATGATGATTAGGCTACAGACAGGAGAACAAAGAATACATCATATTACAACATATATCAAAGCTATCATATGAAAACTGCCCTTATTACTGTAAACAACCCAGGGATCAAGGGATAGTCTACAAAATGAAAATCATTAATTTATTAAGATTCAAATGACTCCTAGTCCTATCTTCTCTGCAATAAAGACATCTGTACATTTCACGGTGAATTTTGCATGGGTATATCATTTTTTATGCTGCATAATTATCACACAACATTTAAGCACTTATACAAATTTGCTCTATTCAGAATGGTGCTTGTCAGAATAAACACTTTTTATTCATCTGGTTTTATTGCACCAAACTGTTTATTTTTTATTTTTTATCTGACCAATGGCAGTGTGTTATTTCAGCTAAAACAGAGATGACCGACTTGCTGCTGTGTGTTGATGATTCAGATTTGATAACAAGTAAACCATTGGATTAAAGATGGAGATCTGACGATCTCTTATTATTCACTGTCTCACTCCTGTGTCTTTGTTTTTCTTTTTACATATTTGTGCAGTAAAAATGGTTGGCTGATTATTTCATTGTGACTACTAGGCCTTCAAGAGAGATCTGCTTTACAATTAAATTGTTTTACTTTCATTTTTGATCAACACAATCACATAAGGTGGACATTTATGGACTTTGGAAGTTTGTCTTGTCTGTGTCAAAGGCCTGTTATTAAAATGTAATAAAATCTGATCTCTGCACTCTGCTACGGTATGGAAGGACACCAGGTTGTGTTGTGGGTAATTGTCGCCACCTAGAGAACTAATCACATTGTCTCTGGATAATGTATTACAGAACAGGTGCAATGAATGATTATGCTGTAGATGGCGCCCCAACGCCATACATTGTTGACTACCTCGACGGCTCCAGTCCTAGGACTCGGACAAAGTCAGCCAGGTAACCCGGTCACGTGATATAAATATTGCACAGTTATATCAAACGTTGCCCCCTCACCTTGAATGGCTCAAACACGAGGCGCTGTATGTTGCAACTGCAAACCTACTTTGAATTGAATGGACTGAACTGTAAAGATGGGTCGTTCGCGAACGAACGGATCTTTTTGGTGAACGTCGGGAATTTGGCTCCCTGATTTGCATACTGCTACCAAAGATGGTTTAGAAACTCTGAGCTGCTACTACTGCTTTTTGAGCTCCAGACAACGATGATCTGTAGATAAGGTATAAAAACGTTATCTGAAGATGGTAATTCCTCACTGCAGGAACAATTGGTAGTGAGGAGAGAGCCTCATTCTGTACACTACATGTTTGCAGTGTGTTAAAAATATATAATTTTGCAGGCGATCTAATTTCGTCAGGTAAAATGTATTTGAACTCACGTTTCACTATCTGACATAATGGCAGCAACTTTTTAAGCTGTAGCAACCTTTTAGGCTGTACATTAGAAATGTGCTATTTTTGATTATTAATATTTTTTCTTTTGGGAGCCAAATTAACGGTTCATTTAGATGAGCGGGAGCACAGGGAGCAGCGCAAGCAGCAACAAAGATCAGGGCCAGGCGTCAGTTAAACTGCAGTATGGAAGCAAAACTGTAGGCGCAGTCAAAACCGTGCTTCTAGACCGGAACCCTGGCCCCTTGACTTTGCCCGGAGCCAACCTGTACAACTGGCCGAGATTATATCCGGTTCAAATTCCATATCAGCCAATTAAAATCGTTTAATAAATTGATTTGAGAGAGGCCTTAACAGAAGTCCAACGGCACGCTCTGATAATTAAAGCAACAAGATGTGTTTGACTGACTGGTAAAATAGCTCTCAGTATAGAGTGCCTAACTCCACGTAATTGTCACAGATTGTGGCAAGGGTTCGAATGTCACGTTAGTCTCTCCCATTCATTTGAATACAAATGAATGGAAATATGGAGGTACTGTAGTTTTGTGCCCCAGAAAATATGGGGTTAAATACAGTATATGTAAAAATATATATATATATATATATCCTGAGTTTTCTTATATCTCCTAGATATAGGACAGACACTACAAAACCTTATTCCTTATGATTTATTTTTTACCATCTATTTGGCCATTTATGAATGTGTTATTCAATGCGTTTCTATGGGCTATAGTAGTAAAGGCCATATTCAACATGTTATCAAATAATTTTTACATATTTTTGGGGGGATACCTAATGTGGTCCTACATTCAAAATCAAATAGCTAAATGATCCATGGAATGACCATCTTAAAACAATTCCATAAGTTAGAAAATGCTGTTATCGAGGTAATTTCCTTAGTAGGTGATGTCAGAAGTCAGCATGTGGGAGAAGTCAGAGCTCAGGGATGATAGACGAGTTTCCCACTAGTAATTACGAGTTGGAAGGGCATTCAAGTGGATTCTGTGGTAAATACCACCTTCCCACTTGGTTAGAAACGCAGAATAATGTTTGCAAGTATGGCCCTGGAATGCCCATCACTACTTTATGCCTCATTCAAATCAAATCAAATCAAAATCAAATCAAATTTTATTGGTCACATGCGCCGAATACAACAGGTGCAGACATTACAGTGAAATGCTTACTTACAGCCCTTAACCAACAGTGCATTTATTTTAAACAAAAAAAAGTAAAAATAAAACAACAACAACAAAAAGTGTTGAGAAAAAAAAAAACTGAAGTAAAATAAAGTGACAGTAGGGAGGCTATATATACAGGGGGGTACCGTTGCAGAGTCAATGTGCGGGGGCACCGGCTAGTTGAGGTAGTTTAGGTAATATGTACATCTGGGTAGAGTTAAAGTGACTATGCATAAATAATTAACAGAGTAGCAGCAGCGTAAAAAGGATGGGTGCAAATAGTTTGCAGTGCAAATAGTCCGGGTAGCCATGATTAGCTGTTCAGGAGTCTTATGGCTTGGGGGTAGAAGCTGTTGAGAAGTCTTTTGGACCTAGACTTGGCACTCCAGTACCGCTTGCCGTGCGGTAGCAGAGAGAACAGTCTATGACTAGGGTGGCTGGAGTCTTTGACAATTTTGAGGGCCTTCCTCTGACACCGCCTGGTATAGAGGTCCAGGATGGCAGGAAGCTTGGCCCCAGTGATGTACTGGGCCGTACGCACTACCCTCTGTAGTGCCTTACGGTCGGAGGCCAAGCAGTTGCCATACCAGGCGGTGATGCAACCAGTCAGGATGCTCTCGATGGTGCAGCTGTAGAATTTTTTGAGGATCTGAGGACCCATGCCAAATCTTTTCAGTCTCCTGAGGGGGAATAGGCTTTGTCGTGCCCTCTTCACGACTGTCTTGGTGTGTTTGGACCATGATAGTTCGTTGGTGATGTGGACACCAAGGAACTTGAAGCTCTCAACCTGTTCCACTACAGCCCCGTCGATGAGAATGGGGGCGTGCTCAGTCCTCTTTTTTTTCCTGTAGTCCACAATCATCTCCTTTGTCTTGGTCACGTTGAGGGAGAGGTTGTTGTCCTGGCACCACACGGCCAGATCTCTGACCTCCTCCCTATAGGCTGTCTCATCGTTGTCGGTGATCAGGCCTACCACTGTTGTGTCGTCGGCAAACTTAATGATGGTGTTGGAGTCGTGCCTGGCCATGCAGTCATGGGTGAACAGAGAGTACAGGAGGGGACTGAGCACGCACCCCTGAGGGGCCCCCGTGTTGAGGATCAGTGTGGCAGATGTGTTGTTACCTACCCTTACCACCTGGGGGCGGCCCGTCAGGAAGTCCAGGATCCAGTTGCAGAGGGAGGTGTTTAGTCCCAGGATCCTTAGCTTAGTGATGAGCTTAGAGGGCACTATGGTGTTGAATGCTGAGCTGTAGTCAATGAATAGCATTCTCACGTAGGTGTTCCTCTTGTCCAGGTGGGAAAGGGCAGTGTGGAGTGCAATAGAGATTGCATCATCTGTGGATCTGTTGGGGCGGTATGCAAATTGGAGTGGGTCTAGGGTTTCTGGGATAATGCTGTTGATGTGAGCCATGACCAGCCTTTCAAAGCACTTCATGGCTACAGACGTCAGTGCTACGGGTCGGTAGTCATTTAGGCAGGTTATCTTAGAGTCCTTGGGCACGGGGACTATGGTGGTCTGCTTGAAACATGTTGGTATTACAGACTCAGTCAGGGACATGTTGAAAATGTCAGTGAAGACACTTGCCAGTTGGTCAGCACATGCTCAGAGTACACGTCCTGGTAATCCGTCTGGCCCTGCGGCCTTGTGAATGTTGACCTGCTTAAAAGTCTTACTCACATCGGCTACGGAGAGCGTGATCACATAGTCATCCGGAACAGCTGGTGCTCTCATGCATGCTTCAGTGTTGCTTGCCTCGAAGCGAGCATAGAAGTGGTTTAGCAAGTCATGTCGGGAACTCGTAAATACCACCTTCCTACTGGGAAAAATTCACATGAACACCCTCCAACTCATAATTATGACTAAGAAACTTTCTGGACCCAGATCTTTGCCACATGCAGTGGCGTCATTAGGCCTGGATTGTTTGTTTTACTGACAAAAATAAACAATATAATATACTGCGCTAGGCAGTAGCAAATCAAATCAAATTTTATTTGTCACATGCGCCGAATACAACAGGTGTAGCCCTTACTGTGAAATGCTTACTTACAAGCCCTTAACCAACAATGCAGTTCAAGAAATAGAGTTAAGAAAATATTTACTAAATAAAATAAAGTAAAAAATAAAATAAAAAGTAACACAATAAAATAACAATACCGAGGCTATATACAGGGGGTACCGGTACCGAGTCAATGTGCGGGGGTACAGGTTAGTCAAGATAATTTGTACATGTAGGTAGGGGTAAAGTGACTATGCATAGATAATAAACAGCGAGTAGCAGCAGTGTAAAAACAAAGGGGGGGGGTCAATGTAAATAGTCCGGGTGGCCATTTGATTAATTCTTCAGCAGTCTTATGGCTTGAGGGTAGAAGCTGTTAAGGAGCCTTTTGGACCTAGACTTGGCACTCCGATACCGCTTGCCGTGCAGTAGCAGAGAGAACAGTCTCTGACTTGGGTGACTTGAGTCTTTGACAATTTTTTGGCCCTTCCTCTGACACCGCCTAGGATATAGGTCCTGGATGGCAGGAAGCTTGGCCCCAGTGATGTACTGGGCCGTACACACTACCCTCTATAGCGCCTTACGGTCGGATGCTGAGCAGTTGCCATACCAGGTGGTGATGCAACCGGTCAGGATGCTCTCGATGGTGCAGTTGTATAACTTTTTGAAGATCTGGGGACCCATGCCAAATCTTTTCAGTCTCCTGAGGGGGAAAAGGTGTCGTTGTGCCCTCTTCACGACTGTCTTGGTGTGTTGATAGTTTGTTGGTGATGTGGACACCAAGGAACTTGAAACTCTCGACCCACTCCACTACAGCCCCGTCGATGTGAATGGGGGCGTGTTCGGCCCTCCTTTTCCTGTAGTCCATGATCAGCTCCTTTGTCTTGCTCACGTTGAGGGAGA